GAGAATCCCCCCCCCCCCCCCCCCCCCCAATCCATTTTCTCACTATGAAAAACATGAGTATGAAAGCTGCATTCGACGCCTTTAGTTAAACTTTGTATTGTTTCTTCCAGAGTGTTGTGGTGACGGAGAAAGAGGAGAAGGCCAAGAACGCCAAAATGAAGCCGAAGAAGCGGAAGCTCCGGCTGGAGGGAAAACTCACACACGAGTACTTCTGTTTTTGTTGTGGAGAAGGAGGAGAACTGGTGATGTGCGACAGGAAAGACTGTCCGAAAGCGTATCACCTACTGTGTCTCAACCTCACCAAGCCGCCATACGGTAAAGACAATATTAGCTTTAATAAGGATCTGTTTTGAAGAAATGCTTTGAGATCTAAAAACACACTTTGTTGTATTACAAAATCATTTATTTTGACAAGTGTTGCGTTTAGCTCAAATTATAAACTGACGATCTTCATGGCTGATTTTCAGAAGTGTTTGTTGTTTGCATGATAAATGTCTCTTTAGCTGATTTTCAGGTGTTCAGCTAATGTGGGCTGTGTAGATGAGTAAAAGTAATTTTAGAGTGGAAAACGTGAAATTACCTATTTTAGAAATAATAAACCGACAGGTTTGCTGATGCGTATTGACCTTTTTCAGACTTTTCCAAAGAGAGATTGTTTGTTGACTTGGTGAAGCTGATAGACACAAATAAATGGAGCCAATTTCTTTTACTTTTAGTTGGATGGGCTATGTCAGCATCGATAGAGTTGTTTCTGTGCAGCTGCTAACAGCTGTGCATTTACCACCATTTGACAAACGCTGTGTTCATTATCTGAAGGGCTGCACCATGGAGAAATATTGTCTGTTTGAGTATTTGTAGTAAAGAATTGCAATTTTCAGCAAAATTACAGTTAAAATTGGAAGTTGTCAGTTAGTGTATAATGACACATGCTTGATATGGCTTCCAGGTGGTAAATAAGCCTAGTTTATGAAGAAAAAAAAAACATTAACTATGTTATTAGTCATGTTATTAAATAAATGAAAATTGTAATATTTATAATAAGTATTGCTGAACACAGATGAACATATCAGTTGTGACAAACCCAAATTTTCATTCATCACTTCTTAAACAATCTTTTCATTTTCTTCTGTCAAACCTTTGTTTTAATGTTTTTTTATATATATAAATATAAAATAACTAGGCATTTCAGACAGTTACAGATCATCTGATGGCCAAGTATTGCAGTGTTTCCCCTACCATTGTTCAAGTGGGGCACCCCCGCCCTGTCAACAGAACCGAGCGCTAAGCCAGTGGTGCGCAATACAGATAGGCTAGCTAAAAAGCTGCAGTGGTAGCGCTCTGCTTCCCTCACTCTGAGCCATTTCCACCACCCCCACTCGAAAACTGTCGGTACAAACAGCGCGCAACACAGACATGTCTCCATTAACCACCCCCCACCCCCACAGTGAAAGACATGATCACCCTGCCAAGGCAAGTATGTAGGGGAAGCAATGTACTGCATATGATTGACATGCAGTTTGCATCTGTGCTTTATTGTGATGTTTTATGATATTGATAGTGCAAACACTCGTATTGCTACGGCTCTATTTTGATCTGTTATGCAGTTCTAGTTTAATAACATTAAGCAAATTATCTCACCTCGCCACATAAAACTACAATGGTGCATTTATCCAGACATTGAACCAGGGGTGTCAAACTCACTCACAAAAGAGGACCAAAACTAAAACCTTTTTCAAACTAAGGGCCCGTTTCAGAATCTACATTACCTCAAGATAAGACACCCAACATCTTTTCTTGGTTGCAGGTTCCGCAACAAAAGTTTAATTGGTCTCATTTGACGTTCTCTGTTGCACTTTCGACATCATAATCAAAGATTACTGAAAAAAATGAAAGTGAGACAAGTATTTTATGTTTAACATATCATCATGGGGGCCAGATAAGGTGTCAACGAGGGCCACATTTGGACGCCGGGCCTTGAGTTTGACACGTGCATTAAACTATTTATCAACAAAAATCTCAAAAAGAAAGGCCATAAACACAAACTACTTAAATGAGACGTTTTAACAGCTAGTAAGAAAGTTTTAAACACACTAAATGTTTGCATCTTGAGCCTTTATTAAAGCAGATTAGATTTCTTTAACTAAATTGTGAACTTCATCTTTCAGATTAGAAAGCACAGAGTGAAAAATGGTTTCTGATTACGTTATTCTTTGATCTTATTTTTATCTGGCTTATTGTTGTTGGTAGTTTGTTACAGAGGCACCGAACGCAAACAGTGTCGGAGTTTGTCTGCTGCTTTGAAATTAATTCTGGCTAAGAATCGTTATTTAAACCTGACGTCCTCCTGTGTGCAGGACGCTGGGAATGCCCGTGGCATGACTGCAGTGTGTGCGGCGCCCTGGCCTCGTCGCTCTGTGACTTCTGCCCTCGTTCCTTCTGTCGGGACCACGAGACGGGGGCGCTCACCACCTCCTCCCTGGATGACCGCCCCTGTTGCAGCAGCCACAACCCGCTCAGTCCGCTTGGCTCCAGCTCCAGCTCGGCCCAGCCGCGCCGCCACGCTCTGAGTCCCGTCAGGGTCAAAGAGGAGCCAGAGGCGGGCCAGGCGACCAAAGAGTGATGCTGTAACTTCCTACAATACCTCATTCCCAGCCAAGTGCTCTCTGATCTTCAGTGGTGCACCTCAGCATGGGATTCAGTGTTTGTTTGTTTTTTTTGACCAGTGTGACGGCCAAAATTCAGAGCCAACTGATGAACACCTCGAAGCTGTTTGCTGCAGCTAAAGTGATGACAGAGAAGTGACCAAGCATAAATGTGCGCTGTTTTCTTTCCTCGTTTGCCATGAAAGACCAGTTCACTCTCTGCAGCTTGCCTGGTCCCATCGTCGGGTTCAGACCGCCACATCGTTGCGTTTGCTTCCCTTTTTTCTTAACTTTTTCATTTTTAAAGCTGTGGAATTTTACGTGTTGTCATGTAATCAGTTAACAGCCGTGAGGGGACAAGGGGAGGAGGCGTCGAGCCTCGTCATCGTCACGCTCCTCCTCCTCGTTTTTACCTGCTGAAAGCTGTGGTCGGCATCTCGCGCGCGATGGAGATGAGCCAGCTTTTCTTCATCGCCTCTCGACACAATCTGTCGTCCTTCTCATCTCTTCTATTTCTTGTAGAAAACGGACTGAGGAAACGACCAATTTTGTGCAATTTGTTTTCAGAACCACACTACATTCCAACTTTCCTTAAACATGGTTTTAATATACTTCTGGGTATAGATGAATATAATTATATACAGTATCTATGTTTGTTAATGTTTACAGACAGATTCTCTCACTTCATCTTGGTGAGTGGTGTATTACGTTTGTTTAGGTGTTTGAACATTACGCAGACCTCTTTGTGAAAATAGTCTTATTAAGGTGAAATATAATGGTATGTAGTGTAATGGTATGACATTACAGAAGTACTTGTGATTTCATATTGCCAGTCTCACTCGCCATTGTGTACATAAATCGGCTCACAATAGTGTAAAGTACTTAAAGATCAGGAAGAGCGAAGCCTCGTCTCGGTTGTTTTTGGATGATTTCTGTTTTTAGACAGATGTTTCTCTTTTTTTTTTTTTTTTTTAAGAGTCATGTCCTCACATGTCCTCCGAGTTGTTGTAGATGGAAGAGCCCAGCTTGTGACCACTGGTGCTGTCTTAAAGTATTGGTTTAAAAAAAAAAAAAGGCCTTAAGTTTGATTTATTTTTATTTTTTGATGCAGTACATTTCAGTCATTTCATTTCATTTGTGTACTGACAGCTTTGATACTGAGGAGTTGTTTTTGTTTTGCCAAACTTCTATGAAAAGCACTTTCACGTGGCTCGTTGCTACACAATTTAGCTCGGACATGTTTGCAGGAATGGGCAAGTGTTTCAATACCGATACCTCTTGTTTGAATTTAAATTGTGTTATCACTTTTTGCTTCTTAGTCGGAAATCTTGTCAATGCTGGGTATTTTTTATTTTAGGAAAGTGGCCTAATTTCTATTATATTTCAGTTTTTCACAAATAAAAACAACTGCCACCCCAGCTTCATACAAACAAAAAAGGTTAAAAAAAATAAATAAAAAAGTTTTGTGTCCTCCGGAAGCACTTTTTCTTTTTTGTTTCTACCAGGAGGAGAAAATCCTCACGGCTGGGCTTTCTATAAAGAAGTACCAACAATCTAGTTCAGTAAAATGTACAAACGGAAACTTCTGTACAGTGTTTTTAATCGCTCATCTGTCAAATCTAAAGTTTTTGTATTTATTGCACCACATTTTATACCAATTTCTTTTCCAAACACCAGTGCAGTTATCCGTCTCCCTTCTCACCGAGGTGTAAGAACAAAAAAAAACAAAAAAAAGATGGGGAGTTTTACATATTATGCTTGTATCTAGTCATTTTCTTACGTTTGGTGTAATGATTCCACATTTGGTAACAGCGGCTGCTCATCGGCCTGTATCGTGACTCACTGTAATTGGTGTTTGAAGCAATGTGAAGCAGTTCAGTATTGGAATGTAAAGTTTTCGTTTCCGAGCATTTGTTTGTGCAGGTTTAGCTGCGACAAGTCATTTTTCACAGGAAGAGTTCTTCTGTAATCACGCCTTCCGTCTTTGTTTTCTCTGCGCTTAGATGACAAGTTTGTTTTTTCCCTTCAAAAGAAAGGTTGGGTTTTATTTCTTTTGTTTTTTTGGAGTCACAGGGTGAAGTTACGCCGTAGTCTTCATGTTTTCTCAGTTCACTGAGGTTGTCTTTACTGTAGATGCACTCCGCTGCCTGTTCTCAGTTCACCATTCATTGTTAATTATAAGCTTCAGTTGTAGCAATCAGTCAGACGCCGTTGGCAAATTTGTTTTTTATTGTGCTGTCGAAACCTGTTTGATTTTCATTTCTTTTCTTTTTGTTTTATAGATGAGACGAGAAAAAAAAAAGTGTAATGATTACTAAAAGTTGAAACTGAACATGACACTCAGTTCTAGTAGTTAAAATTTAATTTAACTGGTAGCTGAATCTAAGCGGTATAAGATTTTTCTCTATAAAGTTTTTAGTTTCCAACTTGCTCTGTTTATTTTTGAGCAGATTTAAATTTGGCTCCTAGAATCCGATTGAAAGCTTGAGGCTAATTGTGTGAAGATGATCACATCTGTGGAAGAATAAAGGCTGTTGGACCATGAACACATTTGCAGTTGAGCATTCAGCTCCTTTTTTTTTTCCTTTATTCCTCCTTCATGCCAAGATATTTTTTATTATCGGTTAAAGACAGATTTAAAAAATATATTTTAGTATTTTCAGTTCATTGTTGGGACACTTTTAATTTGAAATTTCAGAACAGATGTAAACTTGAATTTTGTTTATTTATTGATATATTTTTACACAGGTTTTATTTGCATGAGAAGTTTGGACCGCGGGCGTCCTGTTGCTTAAGGAAATGTCACCTGACGACTTGTGATTCTGTTCTTGGTGCCCTTTTTTTAATGGTGAAAGCTGTTTTCTGGTGAACGCCTTTATTTTTCTCTGCTCTCCTTCTCCGTGCCAGTTTGTCCTGCTGAGCTGTTACAGCAGCAGCGTTACTACTTTATTTGTCCCTGTGCTCACGTTGATGTGATGGTGTATGCTTTCTTTGTCGGTGCGTTGCCAACATTTGCTTTTCAAAGACAGCGTGTTTGTTTTCGTTTAAGTGACCCTTGCATATGCCTAAAGAGGATTTTCTTTACTCGTTTTGTTTTTCAGGATGGACCACCCTTGTTTGGTAAAGGGCATGTTTCAGTTCACTGTGACATCTTTTTGTTTTTTTTGTGCAATGTTGCCAACTCGTTAGGTCTTACCTGACATGCTGTCTAAAAGTGTTGGAATAAAGAAATAAACTCATCTGCATAAGCACTCTTCATCTCTTTTTACTTGTAGAAAACTTGCTTACAGTAACTAACGGGTCATATCTATCGCTCTTGGTGTTGCTTCAACGAGAACGTGGATGAACACACAATGATTTCCTGTTCCGCCTGTGTTTCTGCATACTGCATTGTTGAGGAACTTGTAAATACTTTGCATTGGATTTGCATAAACTCATGTTACTGTGGTGTGCTCTTTTCTGCTTGTACAATTCTGCTTCTAAATGTGTGAATGTTGAGACAACACTTTTTTTGTTTGTTTGTACATGACTTGTCTTTTCATTTGAGAATATTGATTCTGTCTTTTTTCATTCTAATGTTCGGTTTAAGGAGTCCAGACATGCTTGAAGTTTGACTTTAATAAAGCTGTACTCTGTCTCAGTGAAACATTCTCACTCTGTGTAGCTTTCTATCCATCTTGTGACTATACAAACAGTGAACTAAATCTATGTCCATTCATGATTTTCAGGACTAACCAGTCAGATGGTTGTTATTCATCAAGAGCCAAGTAAAAATCAACAGCGAAGATCTGAGCCAACAATTAGACACAATCAAGACGATGACATTTAAAGTAAATATTTCATCTGATTTGATGGGTGGAGGGAAATGAGTACCTGTAGATGTGACGTGGCTTCCAGCATCCAACGTCAAGACAAAATCAGCAACAAATGTACTTCCGGTTTACAGAAAATCTCAACATTAAAAGCCAACATGTGGACATTAAAATGCAGCGATTTTAATTTTTTTGTAAAGTACAGTATGCTAAATTTATACACAGAAGTAGTGAATGTTTTTATATATATATATATATATATATGAAAATACCTCAAAACTTCAATTTCTGACGATAACCTCAAAGTACTTTGCATTGTATCTTGATTCAAGCTCAATAATCCAGGTAGAAAAATCCAACCAAGCCACTATGTGAAGGTGCTATTTCTAAGATTGAGTTTGTTGTGGCGCCTCGGACAGATGAAGTCTTTTGGATGAAAGACGAAATGTTTCCACAAAAAGAAATCGTCTATAGGGCCTGACCGCTTTGTTCGCCATTTGTGGGCTTTTATTGTGAAAGTTGCAACAGGATGTGTCTGCGTTGTTCCACTAGCTTCACGCGCAGCTCGCCTCCTCGGTAACATCTCGGTTTCCCTAAAACGCCAGACGTCCTCAAACTGCGGGCTGATGGAGAGGACGTCGACGTGTGTTTCTGGAACATGTTAATCCGAGGACGAAGACAGAAAACGCGGCTTGTTTGAGGTTTGTCACCGAAACTTGTAATTCTCTGATGGACGAGGCGGAAATGAGCCAGATGTCTGGTTTGACAGATGTTGCTTGCTAGCTTAGCTTTCGATCTCTCTTTTCTCATTTATTTATTAATTTTTCCTCTGTTCTTTTACTGAAGGGGTTTGATTTGATTTAATTTAATTAAGGCTCTATAATTCAGAGAAGACTAGGCTCGTATTTAATGTGTCCGAGGACAAGTGGCCTATTTCAGGCTTTAAACAGCTAATCAGACCAAGCTCGTGGAGAATTGATCCAAGACTTTTATTGTTAACAGTGATCTAAAGTAAGAACACATTTATTTACTATTAATGTTGTTTAAAATGCTTTTAATCCGTTGTCATCTTTGAGGTCCACTATCCTACATGTTGTACTTTCTTTGTATGAACACATCTGGTTCACACCTGAATTAACTCTTGGGGGTCCAGGCTGCTAATCACCCATTAATTCAGACCAGGTGTGCTGAAGCACAGAAACGTCTTAAGCATGCAGGACAGTGGACACCCCCGGGGACATAAACAGGACCTGTTTGACAAGACTCATTAAAATGTAAGAAAAATATTTATGGTAAATGGACTGCACGTTTCTATCTTATCAAGATACTCAAAGTGCTTTACACTACAATCTGTGACCTCATTTACCCATTCATACAGCACTCTACTAGATCTCTGCAAAGCTAATCTGAATCCGTAGAGATTAATCGGGTTTAGTGTCTTGCTCAGGGACACCTCAGCATGTGACTGCTGGTGGAATCGAACCCCCAGCTCTGCCATTGGAGGACGACTGCTCTAACCGCTCAGCCACAGCCGCCCTATATAGATAAGATTAAAGTACTATCAAATATTTTAAAATGTATTGGCGTAAAATTCTGTCATAAAAAGATACCAAAAAGATGATGCCCAGGAATAGACCCTTTTGGAAATCCTGGTGTTTTTATTTTAGTTGTTTTATTATTTGCTTGTATTGCCAATTAATATTTTTTCTCTAAATGTTATTTAACTTGTTTAGGACCATAACAGAAAGTCCTATTTTATTTTTATTTAAATCTTCCAAACAATGAGCTGTCTCAAATACACTCATGGGTCTTGATGCTGCCACAAAGTATTTGATGCGTTGCTGTGCAGAAAAATATTTAAAATACTGTAAGTGACGTGCTGTGTATGGTCAAAATCCAGACTGATAAGATTTTAATTGAATAATTTTCACCAGATGGATGTTAAGCTGCTGGAAACTAACATTTTTGTTTAATACATTACCAAAACAAAAATAAAAGCCCAGGATTGATCTTTTCTCAGTCAGTGATTTGTGTGCTTTAATAATAAATGCTGTCCTTTTAGTCAGGCGATGGCTTGCCATTCTGAAGCTGTCAAGTAAAAGGTGTTCTTAAAAACGTGTTAAAGCTGATTTCAACAGCAATTGGTCTGCTTAAAGTTTTTGGTATTTTTATGTTTGAAAATTTAATAAATTCAAACCGGTGGCTAAAACAGACTCCTTCATGTTCATGCTAAAGTGATGCACAGACTCCTGTCTGTCACTGACTGTTAAGAGGTTTGTGCATATAAATTATATTTTAATAATCTCTTAAAAACAACAATGCTTCTTTTCATTCGCTATGAAGTCTCATTTATACATTTTGTAGTTGTTTCACTGGCTATCTTGCCTTTTGATACTTATTTAAACATTTATCTGTGTATCATTCCTTGATTGAGCTTTTATTTTTTTATAGACAACTCCTTCATATGAAGGCTTTTATTTTTATATAACGTGTTGGTGTTTTTATCACATTTGTTTGCGTTCAGGGAACAGTGGTATATGAATCAAAAATAAATCTGCTGCACTGTTTGCTTAAATCAGGTATAAGCAAAAAAACTGAAATTTGATTCTTGATAACAAAAATAATAACTTTCGTCACTTTCCAACACGAAACCAGTGAGGCTAAAATTAAATTACGGTACTAGAGGCATGTATACAATAAAGTTAAACTGACTAGGTTTTAAAATTTGTCCTCAAAGATGCAAAAATATATCTGAGGTACTTTAATCCTTACAATCAAAGTGTTTTAGCTGACATTTGCAGTTCAGTACAGTTACAGTTGTGACGGATGATCTAGAGAAGTATTAGTACCTTTATCAGCTGTTTTAGTCTTCAAAGTAGACAAATTGTTTCAAATGTATTTGGGTTTTTAATTTATCTTGAAAAAAAAATCCACAATTTGGCTTCTCACTTGAACCCATGAGATTAAAACCAATAAATGGTTATTGTTATCAATACATAAAAGCAGAGTAGGAAATATCAGGGTTTGAGACGTTTCCAAGCGGGAGAATATGTTTGCCTTAAGGTAATAATAGACAGCTTTTATCACAGTCGAACATTATTTCAAAAGCACAAGTGTGCCTGCCTTTCTCAGAACTGCAGGGTTGTATCAGTGGAAAGGTCATTTAGACCTGGCATGAGAGCCAGGGATGGATTTTTTTTGATCAATTCTAGTGAAGACATGTCACTAAATCCAGTATTTCACCACATATAACAAGAAACCCTTACATTTACTTGACATTTGTACTTCTTCAGTGGAAAAATGGCATAGTGTAAAAACTTTGAAGAATTTAAAAATAACCAATATATTTAAAAAAAAAATCTTAATTATTCTGAAATGTTTGGTTTATAAAGTAAATTCACAACAACACTTTGCTTTGATGCAATTACAGCTGATGTTCAATCATAACGCACCCAATAATGAAAAGACGGCATCTACAAAGTAATACTTTTTTACCCCCGTCATAGGAAAAGATGGAGTAACGATGTTTGATTGACATCATTCCAAGAAACAAAATGAAGAGAAGGCTGCTGCGAGGATTCCTGTCGGAGATTTCCGTCCGACTGGTGCTGCTTTTCGTGTTCGTGTACGTTTTTAAAACATACTTGTTTATGCGTACAGTTCCATTTACTGGAGTGAAACATCTAAAATGCCAGTATCTTTTTGTCCTGTGCTTAGTGTGACAGAGCAGCTTCCTCCTTTCTACCGAGAGATCCAGGCGGAGGAGATGTGGCTCTATAAATTTCACCGTGTGGAGACGGACCACGTTCCCACCTCTCTTATGTTTGTGAGTATGTCTACACCTGAATGTTGTGAAACTGTTCAGTTTTTTAGTAGAAATCCGTCTTTAGTCAAGACAAAAAGTAATCAGATTTAAAGCTATTTATTTTCAAAATATAAACTTCCAAATCAAAAAGGTTATCCTGAACTGGTGCAGTTTGAAAGAGTTCACGCCAGTTGTTTTCCAGATATATTACTTTGCAGTTCTGAAATGCAGGTGCACACTTTATGTAAACGTAGCACTTATCTGCATCTTAACAAATATGAGTAAATATGTATTAATACATCAAAATTGTGACTTCTTCATTCCAAACAGCTCCATCTTGGTCGTCAATGTTGATCTATTTTCATTCACTTTGGCTGTTTCTGTACGTAAACAAAAGCACGTAATAGCTGGCAACTGTTATCAAATTTAGCCTACCTATTTATTTATTTATTTATTTATTTATTACACATTAACCATCAGTATGAGGTGGAAAATGTGCAGGTTTTCTCAATGAATTTTGTTTCATGGCTTTGCATCAAATAGCTTTAATTACGAGACTCAGAAATATTGATGTTTGTTTTGGTTTTTATTTTTATTTTTTGTCTCTTTCAGAGCGTTGCTGTTTTCACTCCCCTAATTGTAATTCTGGTATTCACCATGTTTAATAAATCGGAGCATGGCGATCTAAAAGAAGCCTCCTTGGGTAAGATATGAACACAAATACCAGATTTTTGATTATTCACTTTAAAAAAGATCTGCTAGCTTCTTGAGTTGACATGTCTCTTTCATGAATCTGTTGTTTCTTCTCGTCATCCAGCCGTGACTCTGACTTTGGTGCTTAATGGAGTTTTCACCAACGTCATCAAACTTGTTGTCGGCAGGTAAACTGAGACCACTGAGCATCATAAACTGTTTTAGCCTGTGTTGGAGTATAAAAGCGTAAATGCACCCTCTGCATTTCCTCTATTCTTTTTTTGCCTTTTTCCTGCAGGCCGAGACCAGACTTCTTCTATCGCTGCTTCCCTGACGGTCAGATGAACTTGGAGCTGCGCTGCAGTGGTGATCCAGATGTTGTCATAGAGGGAAGAAAGAGCTTTCCCAGTGGGCACTCTTCCTGTAAGAGACCAGTATGGTCACTTGTCTGAATGGCTGATAAAATGTCTAATAAGTTCACAAAGACAGAAAAGGATACAAAATAGATCTATACACTGACCTTCAGGAGCCCTTTAGTTCTGTAAAATTCATCTTGTGTTTAAAATTTCTGAATCTGATGATGCTTCTCCTTTTATTTTTGATTTCTGTCTCAGTTGCCTTCGCAGGTTTGGGTTTTACGGCATTATACGTTGCAGGAAAACTGCGATGCTTCAGTGTGGTGGGCCAGGGCAGAGCGTGGCGGATGTGTGCCTTCCTCACCCCTCTCCTCATCGCAGCTGTAATCGCCCTTTCCAGAACCTGCGACTACAAACACCACTGGCAAGGTGGGGGTTTAAAACACTGCTCAGATTCACAGATACTTGGGTTGGTCAGCAATGCTACATGCAAGAAAAAGTTTAAAATCTATGAAAATGGTGCTGAATTAAACAAAGTCCAAATGTGACCTGTTCAGGCACAGTTCATCCTTTTCAGACTGTTTTGCTTGACTGGTTGTAAACAAATGGAGGTAAAAAATAAATAAATAAATGAAAGAAAGAATTGCCACAAAAAGAAGGATTCCTTTAAATTACATAAAGATAAAATAGCGCATAAAGCAAATAAATGCTAACTTTTTAATCCATCCATTATCTGTACCCGCTTCTTCCTTTTCGGGTCACGGGGGGTCACTGGGGTCCATGTCCAGCTATCGCTGTGCCAGAGGTGGGGGACACCCAGGACAGGTCTCTCCAGTCCATCATAGGGACACATGGAGACAAACAACCATTCGCTCTCACTCGCACCTAGGGACAATTTAGAGTTGTCAATCAGCCTAACATGCATGTTTTTGGTCTGTGGGAGGAAACCGGAGCACCTGGAGAAAACCCACGCATGCACGGAGAGAACATGCAAACTCCACCCAGAAATGGCCCGGGCCGGGATTTGAACCTTCGACCCTCTTGCTGAGAGGCAACAGTTCTATCAACTGAGCCTTTGATCTATTTTTAATTCAAACTATATTAAATTTACTTTTGTAATGTTCAGAACTGAATTCATGTTGAAGCCAGTTGCCTGATATAACTTTTTTCTTCGCATCTTATTTGAAAAAAGACAAAAATTCAATGTCGACTTTGTATGTTTGATGTTTTGGTTACATATTAATTAAATAAAGTGAGCTACTTAAAAATGGGTCCAATAAATGTTTGCAATGTGCTGTTTTTTAACTTTTTTTTTTAATTGCTTTAAAAATGATTAACTTGAGTAACACACAAAATCAGACTTAAAATGTATTACTTCTTTTTCACACGTTGTGTGGACCTTTCTATATTGCAAACAGTAAAAAAAGTGAACTGTTTATTCACATTTGTAAAATATTAACAATTTCAGGAAGGAAAGGAGCCAAATGATCTATAAAAATGATGGGCCCTTCAGTGGGAACCTTGATTTACTTCCTTATGTCCTCTTATCTCTGTCCTCTCTGTCCTTCGTGTAGACGTACTGGTCGGGTCTCTGCTGGGTCTCACCTTCGCCTGGCTCTGCTACAGGCAGCACTTTCCTCCGCTTCAGGATCCGGACTCCCACAGGCCCCTTCGTCACAGAGAGACCGTCCCCTCTGCGCATGAGCGTAAACTCGCCAACTCCAACTTCCTCCTGCCCCTGTAGACCAGCTGCCACTGAATTCTACTCCTCTGAACTGGGTTATATGGAGGGCCGTGTAAATCGAGGTTTATTTAAACAGGGCGTCGTAAAATCCTTCTTTAGCTCTATCGTGGGAATTTTCTTTTGAGTTTACAAATGAACGCGTCGGCTTTCAAACCTGAAAAGATGTCAAAAACTTGATACATTTGGTCTGTTACATGTGGTAGTTTTATAAACTTGCAACTTTTTAAACAAGCAGAGTTGAAGCTTTAGTGCACAAACAAGAAAGCTGAATTTAACTTGCATGAATTCTTGACATTATGGTTCAGGGAGCAAAACGGAAGCGCAAAGGTTTGTTTTTGTTTAATGACACAAAGTTGTTGTTTTTTTCTTTGGGTTTTTCGAACAGACTGTACCAAAATTCAGCTTCTTGTCGTGTCAATGATTTGTTGGTTCCAATCAAAGTATCAGAAGCACACCTCAGAAAGTCATTTAAAAAGGATATTTATCACAGGTTACAGGTCAAAACTTCACATTTAAGATCACAGAACAGTTAAGTGTGATTAAAATGATCTAAACTAAGGGAACTTTTGAGTTTAGAGATGTTCATTGTATATTTTGTCCGTGGTAAGAACTAAGTCACATTGTTTAAAAGAGGAAGGAATATGTGCACACAGCTACTGCAGCTCAGCATTTATTACCATTTTGGTTATAAATAACCTAAAGACAAGGGAGACCGTTTATTCATTTAAAATAACTGCTTCTTTTTTTTTCTTGGAAAGTAGATGAACACATTTGGTGCATTCACTAGAACTGTTTTCAGTCGCTGACAAACATTTAGTGTTTGAGTTGCTTGGATCACAGAATGAAGTTTCAGCCACAACATTTTAAACACTGGAACAATAATTTACCTTTAATGTACATGGTTTCAAATATGGCCGTCCCTTTTATTTAAAGCAAATGAATCAAAACAGCATGACTTGTTGCCACTGTTTAGACTTTAGCTTTAAATCTTCACGTCTTCCTAAAATATGTTTAGCTTTTTATTTTCTGCACATTTTATTAATATATGGTTACGTGTGCCCAATTCTTGGTACAAGATCCAAATGTAGCAGTGACACTCTTGCTTCTCATTTTATTTTTTTATTTTATTTTTTTGTGCCTGCTGTACTTTAAATCCAAATTTAATCTCTGCTATAGCTGGACTGCACATCTTGCCGTATTATCACGAGTTTATGTGACTAAAGTGTTTGTGAGGTAAATGTTTCCCTGTGTTGTTGGTCTCCGGCTCACGGAGTCTGTAACGGTGCACCGGCTCTGTGGCCACTTTAACTCTGAATGTTCACCAGAGGAGGAGAGGAGCTGTGACGACAGGACCACATCTTTCTGATGTGTCCGAGCGGAGTTGGGTTGTGGTCGTGACCCTTTCAGGTGATGGTGCTAGCCTCGCACTTCTCCTGCTGGTCGGGTTTTCTACGCTTTGAATATCTGAACTGGCACTTCAAGTTTGTTGGTTACGTATGCTAGCTTTCATCAGCTTAAAAAAAAAAGGAAATTCTACACTTTTTGGTTAATTTGTACTGTAAATTTAACTTCCCTGCTTTAGAAGAATCTTCTAAAGTGATAATTTACACACACACCCCCCCCCCCCCCCCCCATTTGGACCTTTTTGCTTTACTCATCCAAAGCTTTGCAGGGTTGAAGAGCTTCTTGATGCTGTTAAGTGAGCTGAACTGGTCTGGATCAAACTAAACAGAGGGAAAAATGAATTTGTGCCTTTGTTTAGCACACCTCAAATCTCTGTCAGTGAATGACGTATAAACTGCACGAGCTGTTCTAATCTTGTTCTGTCTTTATTTTACTATTTCGACTACAAGATTGACTTGTAACTATACAATGTGGCATGCTGCCTTTCTTTACCTCTAAGGATTACTGCCTATAACTGTTATTTTTGATGGAATCTGTGTCAGTGTTTCCATGGGGAGATTTTGAGACCTCAAACACTTTTATTTGGTTAAACTAAATGATTTACAAGCATATTTATTTGGTGGCATGTTGGGGTTTACTTGAACTTGAGACCTTTTTGTTTCCTTTACATGTGATGACCAATAAACTGGAATTCATATTTGATAGCACTTGGGTTTTCTTTATTATAATACTGCTTTTATAATTATACACGTTTCTTAAATTTAGTTACGCCCAAACTTCCTCTGATTAGTTAAACGTGGGCTTTTCATGCATTATGTTTGATGGTTTAATCTGTTGTTGACATCGAGATGTTCTTAAACTCTGATGCGAGTTTTATTGTCATGAATAGCTGCTTATGCTGATACAACATCCTGATTTCCCTTGTTATGGAATTTACTGTTGTTTACATATTTTCTTTTGTTGATGTATAGAAATTTAAGCCAGAAATGTTTGGCAAACAAACATAAGAGTTCAAATAATCTCAGTTTGAGCTGGAATGATGAAACTTAATGGTGAATGTTACACTTTCTTTTGAAAACCGTTTCCATTTGTTATCTTTTAGGACCAGAATCAGATGGACACTCGTTTCATACATTGTGCTAAATCCTACTGAATATAAGGACACTGCCTGTGTGTGAATTTTGAAAATACTTTTATTAATCCTTAAAAATGTAATCAAAATTGGACTGAATTTTAACAAAATTTAATCCTAAATAAATCAACAGATTTGGACTGATTTGGCTTTAGTGAAACAGTTTTTATTTATTGTGGTTTTTCCAAATTTCACTTCTGCAGAAGGACAAGTTAACCTTAACAAAAAAATATGAAGAAATATTACAAAATTATTATAACTTAAGCATTGGTACTTTAATCCTCATTTGAAGTATTTTAATTTTTAGTTGTTTTTTTTTTAACAAGGCTGCACTACATTTAAATGTCTCATAAATGTAGAGCAGAAAAATTAAAAATATTTCTGAAATTTACAGTATTTAGATAAAATATTTAATTAGTAAATACCATTTTTTAAGCATTAACTTCTGAGTTAAAAATTTACGGGGTTAAACCTTTAACATCTTTACAGCTTCTACTTTTTGATGCCGTTTTGTTTGTGATCTATTCTTCTTCTTGGGTTTTATTAGCGGTTGGCAAATAACGTGTACCATAGATACATCTATGGGTAAGCAAAGGGCTCTGCCCAGAGCCAATCAGTGTTCGCCATCCACAAACGCCTATTTGCCAGAAACGCCCACTTTTGGTCTGCAGAGAACCCCTTCTCTGTTGTTAGAAGTGACGTGTACCATGTTGCTACAATCTGATTGGTCGGAAGTGACGCATGGATTTGGCGCCTCATTTCTAACCAGAAACAACGTCGTAGTCGGCGACATCTAACAGCAAAGAAGAATAAACACTCGTTTAAAGCATTTTATAATTTTATCAGACTTATTTCGTTCTAAACGTTTTTACTCGTCACTGGAAAATGTTCGTCACCGACATTAGAAAGGATTTTTACGATGTTGTGACCAACCAGGTAAGCTTGGTGGGTTGTTGGGAGCTATTTCACAACGTAAGGGTTTAGCTAACATCATAGCCTCGTTTATAACTGAGACAGAAAGCGTTTGTTTTTCTCTGATTAACTATGTTTTTTTTCACATTCAGAGAGTTGCACTACTGGTTGCAGCGGACATCGATGCTCTCTGCGCCTGTAAAATACTGCAGGTAAATAAATGTTTGTCATTGTGTGTGTTAGCTCCTCAGGGTCACTAATATTAGGTCTGGTCAGACAGATAAACATTGATTAAATCAAACTGAGATGTTCAGAGCGGTCATTATCACCTCCTTACTGTTTGTTCATAATATAGAAAAGGTTGAATCTTACACTGAGTGATTCGTTATTTAATTTTAGAAAAGCCAACAAAATATGATTACAGACATTTAAAGCAGCATATTTAAACAGAAGGACATAAGGTTGTGTACTTTTCCTCACAACAATTTAGGTTTCCTCAGAATTTACTTTAAAATAAAATCGATTTTTTTTTTTGTACAACGTTGATTTGATGTAATTTTATGTCACACTTGTCCTTTATGGTAAGCCATCTCTTTGTAATAGCTTTTCTTGCAGCTCAATATTCCAAACATGTATTTATTTTTTTAAGTATTGATGCAAACTTTAAATGAGTTATTCCTTATTATCAAAAAAAAAAAAAGTTCAATCTGGTCCTCTGGACATTCAAAAAAACAAAGCAAAAAAATGTAGATCTCGTTCGGATGGGAGACGAAACGTATCTACATTTTTTTTGCTTTGTTTTGTTTTTTGTTTTTTTGAATGTCCATAGGACCAGATTGAACTTTTTTTTGGGATTTTTCTACCTGGATTATTGAGCATGCATCAGGATATTTTGAACAACTTTGACCAGGATTGCCTCAAACTAGTTAGAGAGTTTGAGAAAACAGCAAGGAAGAGGGCAGACTACAGGAACCATTTGCGATTCAATCTCAGATGTCGACAAAGTGGCATCATTCCCAAGAGCCTGGAACTAAAATCGTCGGGCACCGGGCAAGCAAGATCCTTCAGAAGACACAGACCCAGCTGCTGAATGAACGGGTGAGACAGACCAATTTTACTATTGAGGCCTTGAAGGCCAAAGAAGAGCACATTAAACAGAAACCAATGTGTCTAGATCAGACCACACTTCAGCAAGTGTTGGACTGTACAGATCAGGCACGCTTAGCACAGCATGTCAAGTCCAAGACTCGACAACAAAACAAGTTTAACTTACTAATAACTCATCAACACCATCACTATTCCAATAACAACACATTCAGTGTAAGACAACATTCCAGTAGTCAATTACATGCCAGGGAGACAGAAAAGTGGGTGAAGAATTTATCTGACAGACAGCTCACCCAGCCGGAGACAGAGATTCTTGCCAGGGGACTGAACTTTGCGGTTGCACCAAGTAGAATTCCTCTGGTGGAGATGATCACAGCTACTGAGTCAGCCATCCGCAACAACAAAATGAAAAAGGCTGAAGCAGAACAGCTCAGAATCAAAGTTTCATCCTGCCTCAGCAATGCCAAACCACCACCTTCCAACATCAGTAGAGAGGAGAGGGACGCACTCACCACTCTTAGCAAGGACAAAAACATCAT